ATATTTTTAAATTTTATAAAAATAATTCAAACATATTAAAAAATTGTTCGATCGAAATCAATATATCCAAACATAGGAAAAGTAATATACGAGTATGAGATACTGAAAGGTACAAATAAGACATTTGAAATTTTATTGTATATTAATAATTGTCTTAATTATAAAATAAAATATCTTTTCGTTAATTACAATAAAAAAATGCAACTAAGTCAACTCGGTCCACGATCAAGGTATGAATAGAATTTAAAATACTCTCAATTGTGGAAGATTTGAATTTCTGTTCTTGAATTTAAAATTCGTCTTGTAATATTGAAACTGAATACTATTATGTAATGCCAAACATATACATATACGAAAAATGCTTAAAAATAAAATAGCATGATGCAAATTTAATTTACAAGCAAAAAAAAAATACAACAAATTTATTTTTAATGCTTCCATATTTTAAACAAATGATTATTTCACTGTTATAATCACGATCAATAACTTAGATATGTACGCGTACAGTATTTTGGCAGACATCATCCGGATTTTCTGACTCATTCGGAAATGAGATCCTTAAGACGTTGTGTTAGGATTCATCCTTAGGATGCGTGCACACAAAGATTACGAAGAAAAATCATATAAGAGAGTTTCGGGAGCTCACGTGAATAGATTGTAATCGATACTCGCTATGAATGAATTACGAGCCTATTTACATTGACCTTAACCTTTTAATGGAGCCGCAAGGCATGCGTTATTATTACTTATGTATGTGTGACTGTTACTTTACATATTACAGCATAGATACATAAAATTGTGACCATAGGTTTTCCATTTTATGAGAGGCATTATAAAAGCATAATTTTTTTTTAAGTAATTATACAACTTTTATATTATTAGTTATAATATCAAGTGATTTGTATTCTATTCATCTGTTTAATATTGCAACTAAATTTGTATTTTATTTATTTGTGCGGCAACAAAAATATTTTTGTATTAGATTATTAGAACAAAATTATATTTATTATTCAGAGATACGCGTTTAATTATATTATATTTAAATTCTTTATACATTCTTACATTCAATAATCAAACATTTATCTGTTACCATTCCATTTTTTAAAATTCAATTATATACACATTGAATATCAATCGTCCGACAATTTGTGGATTTAAAAAAATCATATAATAAAAAACTTAAGATTATCGCTCCCTAAATTCCCAACAATTGTATCAGTTTTCCTCTTCGGAGATGAGATCTTGTGTGAAAGAAGCTTTAAGGGCGTGATGTATGCGCACGGGGAGTTAACAGCTGTGGTCGATAGCCCACATGGCGCTCTTTGCTCTTGTTGAGATGTGGAGCTATCGATTTTATCGTGCTATTTCGCTAACGAATAGATGAACATTGATTAGAATGCAGCTTTGCCAGTTTTTTTACTATTAATTCGTTCCTGTTTCTGTTAACAGCTCGTTCAAAAAAACGTCTAGATTGTTATCATGGGTAATCATTAAGTCTTAAATAACGCTTGTTAGTCCGCATTTCTCATTCATTATTATCTTACCAGTAGGAATTCCACGAGTGATGATTTCAAGTATAACTCATTGAAATATGTCATGTAATTTTTATGGGAACAAGTGGGACTGCTTTTTTTTCTTATTGTTAATCATATATGCGGCGATATCATTAAAATTAAAATATTGATGAATCTTTTGAAAATATTATACTATCAAGATATATTGGTAAATCTTTCGAAGAGATTACACCATAATTTTGACATGTATTATAATGGATGGAGCCCTAACTTACGTTTAACGTGATTCAAAGTGCATATAATTCAAGACTTTATCTGTTATATATATGTAAAAATCAAAATGATTGATGAGGTATAACTTTATCGGAAAATTTATCAAGATATTTTTCGTTTGAATCATTTTTTATTGTTCGAATTTTTCTTGCAGTTTCATTATAAAGATAATGAAAATAATATTTCCTCCGAGATTATATGATTGAACAATAGTCATGATAATGTGTATTTTTATGGTATGACAAAAAGTATAAGATCTAAAATAATATAGGACGATGCGTAATAAAACATGAGTTTAACCTTGCGATGTATCAGTGCAGCGATGCCGAAAATAGTTTGAATAAGAGGGAAAAGATGTTGGACATGGACGGAAACCACTGCAAAGTTTATATGGTTTCCTGTAAAATCGTTTCTCCAAATACATATTTAAAATATCCATAGAGGAATATATGTTTCTTTTAATCTAGATAAGAGATATCCTGGATAATTTATACATTTTCCTCAAAAATTTAAAACATATAAGCAAACCATTAATTTTTCTTCAAGAATAAACTTTACATAGATTACAAAAATTTCGTTTCTTTTCTATTTGATATGATAACAATTGTAATGTATGATAACATTTGTAGTTTAATTGAAACGACAATAATTATATTCAAATATATATGACATAATGTCTCTTGCGTTTGACAATCATGAGATGTATTGAAAGTTTAATTAACTGATACGATCTTATTGATTAAATTAATATATATTTCGTAAATATAGTATATATCATTATTATTTATATGTCAATTTTTTTGTTAAAAAAATTGTTTTCTATCTTGCCTTATGGTTCTATCGAAATAATTATAAATAATCACACTTATGCATATACATATGTATGTTCCTAAAACTTCATATTTTGTTTTGCAACAGGTCCTAAATATCGATTATAATATTAAATTCTAATCAATAAAATTCTATAATGTAATAATGTCTACGTTGCATTATCTTCATTATTTCGAAGTAGGAAAAGGCGGAGATGGATTGCATGTATGATGCACGCATTGGACAAACTTGAATTGTTCAGCTTCCCATGCCGAGTGTCAGTATAATATGACAATAAGCAACATAAGGCCACATGTAGAATTCACGTAGGTAGTCACTGACATTTTCAAATGTCAAGCTTTCTCACAATGCACTATTTATCATTTGGATTGCCATAAACTATAGTTTGATGTATCTCTATCGGATGCTGAGCAATAGTAAAAATTTTTTAAATTTTGTTTTCAAAGATAAGATCAGTTACGTTTCTCGCTAAATCAGTTATATTTCGATAAATAATTGCTATTAACATATTTCTGTATCTATATAATGATTATTCTGTGATATATTTAATTAATGGTATTATTTTTAATAATATTTTACCGTAATATTGTTTTTAAATGACATAATTAAGATATATGATTAAAAGTATATTTTATTATGATATGAAATCAAATAGGAATGAAATATGTTGATTAAAAATTAATAAGAGATTCTGAGAGACAATTTTTCTATTAGCAAACACTTAATTTTCTGCCGCACCTATGCAGAATAATTGGCAACTTTCGAATGCTCAGGACTAAATATCCACGACACAGATGTCACAGTTCATCAACATTACAGATTGCAAACTACAGAAAGACGCATGCGCACAAACTAAACGAGTAAATTTTTTTCCGGATCGCCCAACATGTGTGTCAATTACTATATTATCTACCTTATTCCTTAACGACTTAAATTTTAACGCGCGCTCATTGAAACACACTGAATCTAATCGTGTTAGTTTCACATGCCAGGTTGTATCAATTATAAAACATTTAAATATCAATCATAAAACATTTAATTTAAGATTTAAGATTGAAGAGATTGTATATATAATATTTAGGTTATTTAAGAAACAATAGATCAATTAAAATTGTATTTATAATCAAAAATACTGATAGGATGGAATTTGTGATAACATGTGAAATGAAATATGAAAAATAATGAGAAGTCTAAGTTGGCATGTTAAATAATATAAGAGAAAGTTTTATAAGAATTAGTTTTTTTTAGAGATGGTATAATATAAATTTATAATTTTATTTTATAGATTTGATTATAGAATATTTCATTTATTATTATTTCCTCAAAAAGTTTTATTGCTTTTAATGATATATAAATAATTCCTTTCGAAAAAATTATTCGAAAGCAAGGAATTTTTCATAGTTAATGAGAATCTTTTTAAGATTGCAATTTCAAAGTTATCAAAAAGTATTTTTTAATAAGAATATTATCTTTTTTTAATACAATAACTTATGCAACTCCTTATTCCATTTCAATTAAGTAAATATTTTATAATTAATTTTTATTTGAGAATATATCAGAATTAAATTTGATGTATAGTTTATAAAAAAAGACTTAAAAAATTTTTTATAATCATATTCTAATACTTTTATATAATTCTAATTGAAGAAAACTTTAATAAGTTTATAATTTCAGAAACCATTAATTAGAGGTTTTCTTTATAGAGATATTCAGAGCAATCATGATAAGAAAGGAACATTCTGCAAGCTATCCCCTTCGCGGATAAACCATTTAGAAAGAAATAAGCAAAAGAATTGTAAAAGACAGTAAAATAATGTACAAAATAAATACTTAAAAAAAATGAAATAAATTATATAATTAATAGTTATATTTTTTCTTATAGATTAAAATAGTATACGGGAAAAGATACATATTACAGCGTTGTTATTTTTATCATTATGCTATAATAATAGCAATTACAATAAGAATTATATTTATATCAGAGGAAATAGTCGCTTTTATGATTAGATGATGCAAATGTATCACACTTAATTTTTTATGAATAAAATAACATAACTCATCTCGCCGGGCAAGATAACTGCTCATTAAACACCGAGAGGATATAATTGTAATTTAAATATGTTAATATTTTTATTAAAAGAATATGTATCATGAGATAATATTTAACTACATACATGTTCTAACTTTATACGATATTTTTAACATTTCCAATGTTTTAACATTGCGATACGATCTTTTTTATATATGATACGCGCTTTAAAAGGCTGTGACGTTATTTCATTTTTCACGAAATATACAATTAATTCTACATGTATTTAATAGAGCAACTTATTCAAGAAACAAATGGCTGTCTAAAATCACGAAGGGATTAAAGAACCTTACCAGGTCTCGTACAGGTCGTGAAATGTGCAAATCTTCTGGTCGCGCCGGTCAGGACGCGCCGATCAATAGGGAGCAAGAAGGCACATGTCCCGGTGGCTTCTCACACCATGGTGGTCACAAGATCAACATCGTGCATTTTCGACAGCATCGCTCGACGACATCGCGCGTCGTCAGCGAGCTGAACGGGCGATGGAGGTTTCAGCGCACTAGGTCTCTCGGCAACGTTTTAAATTTACGACGCGACAGATTCCCTCGCTTTTAACGAAGTGTTATGCGATCATATGAGAGGCTGAGGCCAACGATAGGATGGAATCGTGACAATAACGATGCCGACGTCAGCGACGAGGCGGGACACGTAGCGCGAAAGCCGAGAAAAGTCGGGACACTGGCCTGACATCGGCGGGACCGTCGACCCGGTGCAGCTTTTATTACGCGACGACGCACTGCGCCGACGTCACAGCGACGTCGACGTCGTCGTCGTCGTCAAGATGACGCGACGGCGCGCGCCGGAGCCTTTTCTCGTGCGCGCGTACCGGCTGAATCGATTTCTTGAACGCAACGAGATATCGAGACGCACGAGGCGATGCTATGGCGCGAAAATTTCGAGCGAGCTTGCGTACGTAAAATAGATATTAATCATTTATATCTACAAAATATATTGTTATAAAGATAATAAAATATGAAACTATTGCTCAAACTGTGTATGTAAGGACGATTTATGAGATTAATTATTATTTAAATATTGTGTGTAATTATATTACTATTTTATGTGCATATTATTTATATAATTAAACGAGATTAAATTATATTTATTAGGTTATTATAAGTAATAAACTAATAAATAAAATTTTAACAAATTGAATAATTACTTATATTTAGTAATAGCTTATTATAATATACATATGTATATATTATACATATAATATTGTAATATGTTACATAATAATTTTATAAACATAATATTTGATAACATTTGTGATATAATAATTTTGCAATTGTAATAACAATTTAATTTAATATATATATTCATATTAATCGCGCATATTACTAGCATTTTCTATGCAAATTTTTATTAAATTCTAAAACAATTTCTAAAAATTGAAATTTTTAATACATTGTACAACAATAGCGCGCAACTTTATATTTATTCACAATTTCTAAATTTACTAGTATTTGTGTAACAGGCATTTTTAACTGGAGTACTTAAATCTAACTTTTCACCATACATTTTTGCTTCCAAGATTGTTAATCGATTCTTGTGTATTACAGCCAAACAATGTCTTTTCTCTAGATTAGTGTACTTTCTTATTTTAAAGTTATATAACTTATCGACTTTAATTTTGATAACATTTTTATGCATGAAACCTTCGATACCTTGCAAAAAATTACGAAAAAACATTATAATTATATGATTTTACATATAATTAAATAAATATCTTTCTTTAAGTTACATTTTCAATCCTACAATATAGACTTACCTCTATATTCATAAATCTGGATAGCATCATTATTTTCTGCAAAAATAAACAATGTTTCGACAAGTCCATCGAAATTCAGAATCAAAAATGATTTCGGCAAACGTGCTTTTATTATCTGTAAGATCTTTGTTTGCGAGATGCCATTTTTGCACAACTAAATGATGAAACAAACATGATCAAATTTTAAAAATATATTAATACATAAAATAATATTTAATTTTATATCATAATAAAGAAAAATTTGTTTCTACTTACAAATATATAATTCTGGCTGACTTCTTTGTTATAGTAAAAGAATTCTTCTTTCTCATAAATACCTACTTTAAAATTTAACATGTCACAATCGAGACAATTTTTTAGATGTGTGTCGTTTGAAGATTTTCCTTGTAATTCGTAAATTAAGGATTGATTAACGAAGACAATTGGATCAGTATTTGAATTTAATTTTAATTTTTCATTCTCATTCTTATATGAAATGAGATTCTTTAATATATCTGATGGAATCTTGTTTGGAGCACTTTCAAAATTTTCGTGAGTCATTGCTACAAATATATCTTGATATAAATCCATAATATCGCTAACATTACCAAGTTCTAATACATGCTGTAAGAAAGAAGATAAAATTAAGAAAAAAAATTAAATTAATAAAAGAAATTAAAAAAAGCTGAATTTATTCCAAGCAAAAATTATATTATATTTTATAAGCATTTTTATTTTGTTGAAAAGCTTATTTAAATAATATATATACATATTTGTTATTACATGAAACGCAAGTATCACTTCTTTTTATATTTCTTACATATTGCAATAAACTCACCTGTAATCTGTTATTTTCCAATTTCCATATATTACTGATGCTTCTACCGCAGGTACGTTTTGCGATGGTAAGCAAGTATAAAGGGTGATTTAATTTAAAAAAGATCCATTCATTAATTAATCCAACATCGGATACTTCGTCGACTACTTGAAAATCAGCGTGAGTATACAGTATAAGTTTCATACGGCAGGTATCATAATTTACTAATATATAATCGAAATCATCTAATTCAATAGTACGGATATCATGAATATCTCCTTCGAATTCCTGAATTTTTAAGTAATCAAAAGTATTGAATTTGTATATCTGATTTATGGCATTGCATTTAAGCATGTCTAAATGCAATGCACATACGTTATTTAGATCCATCTGTACAAAATAAAATTATGTTAAGAGCGTGAACAAAACATAAAATTAAATTTTGATGTAACACGTACTGGTTTTAATATAAAGAGAGTTAATATAGTAAAAAATAAATGTTAATAATTAAAAAAAAGTATTTATTAATTTGTTTTTGAGTGTTATCGTATAAAAACGCATTTACTGTCAAAAATGTTATTTTACTAAATGTCTTTATAATCTAATTTTAATTAATAATTTTATGAATATGTATATAAAATATATATAATTTTCTTACATATGTTTCATCAATAATTTGATCTAATTGAGGATGTTCCTGTGATGAAGCAATTGATATTTCCGTGACATTAACTCTATTCAAAAACTCATTTCCGTCAATATTTTTTTCGAAATGGATATTTCCATATATTTTCCATTTCCTAGATATAATCTGTTTCGCCTCTGTTGTTTTAATTGCAATGCCTTGCCAATTAATTGGATTTATTCCGTTCAGAAGACCCAAAATTCTCAGACTTTTATTAAGGATAACTGGAGTTTTAAACATAAAATTTCCTAAAGAAAATTAAGCAAATGTATTATTTACATTAATTGCCATTGTATAAGTTTTCTCTGGACAAAATTCTGAATGACGTAAAATATGAAAGAGAGAAAACAGGAAAAGTGTGGATGTGCGAATATGAAAAAAGGAAGATTGAGAATATTCCTGGATATATATTTGTCAATTTCTTACCAGTTAAAGTGTCATTGGTAATTAAAGAAATAATTCGTTTAGGATTAAATCTATTGATGAGGTGTGCATTAAAGTCATGATATGCATAAACATTTCCCCGAATCTTTATATGTCCCGAAATATTTTGATTGCTGTATATCTGTAAAAAATTATTAATTTTATTATTTTTAATCTTCTATTATATAATATTAAGATTTTAATATAAATATAAATTGTGTACTTGAAAAAATAAAATAGATAATCATAAAATAATACAATTTTTAATACAATTATAAAATATAATACATGATTAAAGTGAATATAAATTATAGACATGTTAATTTATTCAAATATTTTCACATATTCTAATCTAAGTTTGAAATGATAAAATTGTTATTTTATTTTGGTGTTTATACCAAAAAAGTGTTTGCATAAATATCTTCTAAATAGTAGGTATTAATATGTCCTGATATTTTTATGTTTTTAACGGTGGCATTAATACATTGAAGTCTATCAACCATGATGGACTGTTTCGTATGCAATGGAATCAACATATCCATTTTGAAGTCATTGACTTGTTCAACTTTTAAATTTGCTTTGAAAGTCACATTATCGAGTGTAATCCTTTCTAAAATATAAATATTTTATTATATAAAAAAATTGCTCGATGATATTTTTATTTATTTAACAAATCGTTAAAAAACTTTCAATTGTTATATACATTATATTTACATGTAATTTTTTTACTGCACATAAATATATAATATAGTATATATGTATAAATACATAATTACCTGAAAAATAATTAAGTTCGTTGAGAGCAATAACATTCTCCTGTAAATCTTGCATATCGACTTTCATGATGGTATTTGATTGTAATTCTGTTTTTACTACGAGAGCTTTTTGTATGTAAATATCCTCTTTAAATATAATTTTAATATCAATTGAAAAAGGTTCATCAATATAAACAGCATTTTTGTGAAATATATTCAAATCTAAATTATTTAAACTGCCATCAATGATGAATGTATTGTTGAAAGTAATTGGACTTTTAAATATTTTCAATCCAGATAGTGCAATATTTATATCATTTTTAAAGATAACTGTCTTCAAAAAGTTATTAAACATTGATCTTTGAATTAATCCACTTATATTCAGTCTTGTTATGGAAGCGGTTTCATTGAAATAAAAATTACCACGAAGAGCATAGGAATTATTTCCAAGTGATTTAAATCTATTTGTGAAATTACGTAAAGGTACATTTCCAATTTTGCCAGTTGTGTTGAAATTTTTTAAAACGTCGACCCAGCCTAAAAAAATTAACTTTTTATTAATTATGTTTGAGAATAAAATTGTATAAACTAAAAAACAGAGAAACAAAGAAATATTTAAATATTTGTGTGCTGCAACATACCGTTTATAACAACTGGTCCTTTCAGTGTCTGCATTTTATTAGGATCTAAGATATTCTCGACAAAATGTCCATTTATAAATTGTGCATTCAAAAACTCGCATGTAACATTTTCGAATGTTTTGTAGCCTACAAATGTAATATTTCTGTCGGTTTTCTGTACAGCGTCAATAATAAATTCAGACAGATTTAAACCATTCACGAAACCGATCACTGTTAGGTCTTTAATCGATGTATTTTCATTGAAAATTACAGTTCCCATGCGATCTTTTTTATAAACGTCAACGATGTCATTCTCATTAATTAAAGATGCTGTTAACATTCCTGTCACTCTAAGTGATTTTATCGACGTATTTCCGTTGAAAATATCATCGTAAAATGTTTTTGCATGTTCTAATAATCGATTTAATTTATTTAATGACATTCCATTGATGATTTCCGCGTTCAAGACATCGGTTTCTAAATTGTCAATTATTAAAGTGCCTGTCAAATTTTGTTGCGTAGAGATTGTTAAGATGCGTTTAGTGGAATCAATGTAATTGATAGAATTGATCATGTTCGGCAAGACTTCATCGGCTATTAATGTTGAGAGTGTTAAATTTTCGAAATGCAGTTTATGGAAAGTTTGATTTAATTTGTCAAAGAAAGTAGTTTGCGTGATATTATGCTTCAGAGTATTAAAAGACAAGTTATCAATGATACATGATTTAATAAAGAATAATACTTTGTTTAGACAAGCAGAAGCAACATTTTGCTCACGGATTATATAATTTTCTAACTTCTTGATCATGCCAAATGTTACGTTGTCAAATATGACATTTGCCGATATTTTTCTCAAATCTAAAATAGTAAAATAATTTATTATAAAAATAATATTATAGAGTATAATATAAATAAAAACAAGTATTATTTAAATTATTTTTTCTTTAACAAAAGAGGAAAAAAACAGAATACACTTCGTTTATATATTACAAGTAATATTATAAGGTTTTTATATTTTATAATTTTACTATTACAAAAATAAAGCGTTTGAAAATATGTTTATTTTTAATCATTTTTATGCACATGCAATTAATAATTATAAATAATCTTTATTTTACTTTAATTAATACTTACGAGGAAACTGTTGATCAGTATTTAGAGTTACAAATTCTGAGAATAAGTGATTATTAATTTGTCCGGATGTAATTGTTAAGTTAGAATTTACATGAATGCCCTTCAAAAATTTTTTATTCCCAGTAATTAATGCATTTCCATCAGTTTTCAACAAAAGATCATCAAAATCTGACCACATTTTAGCATTAATTGAATCTTGAAGTATAATGTTTCCCATAACAGTCAGATTTTCAAAAATAATTTTTGATGAAAGCCTATTGGTTTCATTGATTAACCCCTCTATATTGCTTATATCAATACCCGTCACATTGCCATCGATCTAAAATTGTATATAATGTCTTTTTATATAATTATGAAATACATTTATCAAATCGTACCCATAGACACATAATATATATGTATATTATACGTTTATGTGATCGTACCTGAAAAGTCCCAACTTCCAAATTCTCAAAAGTAATTTCATTATTAATGATTTCGTGTCTGCTAAGAATAATGAAATCGTCAATATTTATTTTATTTATTGTATTGATACCCAACAAATCTGTTGTAGACAGATTGACAAAGTATTTTTCACCCGTAATGTTGATGGGATCTCTATTACTATTTAACACATAATCTTCTGGGTATCGTAAATCATTCAAATTTTTTATATTAGCCTCATCGGCAATAAGCTGAAAGAAAATTATCTTTTATCAAAGAAAAAGTTATAAAACTTTGATTTTAATATACGTTTAGTAAATCATAAAAAACAAACAGCGATTTTGACAACATAAATCAAGATTATTAAGGTGTTAGGTCTCTTTTTCTAAAATTTTATGATTCTTTATAATTATATTGTCTTACCCCTTCCACAACTGTCTCTCCTGGAATAATTCTTGATTTATCTTTCCATACTATACTTTGCATTAGATTCTTCCACTTAACATCATTTATTTGAGAAAAGTTTAAGTGTCCATTAATTTTTAATCGATAGAATTGCGAAAAATCAATGTTATTATAATTTTTGATTGATGTATCAAAAACAATATCTTTTAACGGAATGCCATTCAAGGAAAAAATCGTCAAGTTATCAGTGTCAATAGAGAGAAAAGGTTTTTGGCCATCGATAATGATATTAGAAGCATAATTTACAATATTATTTGCTGCAATTGAAGTTGACGCATTATTTATAAAAACAGCAGTTATATTTTTTGCATGCAGAGTTCCAGTCACTAGAAAATCTCCAGTTAATTCAATATCCGATGACAAGTTAATTCTTCTCGAATTAGTTATATTTTCCAAATCCGATAAAATTTGATTAAGCTTCGTTTCAAATTCTTCTAGTTTCTTTAAACTTGATGTTATATTTATCAACATATCTTCCACTTTTAAATCGATTAAACCGACTTTGACAGCTTCATAATTTACGTTGCTTTCGATTGTAGCATTCGACGCATCCACTTTTGAAAAATTCCAAAATCCTGATATAGAATTTTTAAAGTAACTTTGATTCAAACGTGCTTGAGTTTCGTCAAAGACGACTTCCTGTTTTCGAAAAACCTCCTGCAAACATTTTATTTTAAACGAGTATAAAATTATAAAATTTCTCAATTTAAAAATTATTTTTAAAGAAAAATAAAATAATATGTACATCCTATATATTTATGCATTTTATTGTATTCTAAGTTGTTTGGACTATATCTTTATATAAGTATATATAAAATATATAATTATATCCAAATATAATGCATAATTATATAAAATTATTATAAGAAAAATTATGCAAACATAAGTACCTCCAACAAAGCTTGCGTCTTTAACATGCTTTCTGTTTCGTTATGGGCAGGATGCTCTAATTCGTTCAATGCTAATTCTATACGTACGAATACGTTTGCATGAATGAATCCAATTTTTGGAATAATGATGATTTTTGACAGATCAAAATTATTTAAAATTTGATTAGGTAAAATTACTGTCTTAAACATTGATCCTTGCCAAGCCAAAGCTATTACTGATAAATTTTTAAACTGAACCAATAATAATGACTCATCTCGATATGTGTCCAGTGGCATAGTGGTGATCCAAACAATCTCAGTAGTGTCTGTGAAATAAATACTATTCGTTTAAAAAAAAGTTACATTTTAATTGCAAATTATCATTGGGTTACCATTGAAATGCAGATCCGTTTCAACGTTATTTTGAAATTCATTTTCAGAAAAGCGAAGTAAATGTGCTTTCTTTCCACCAATTGCCAAATATTCGATATAACCACTCTCGAAACAGACAAAATTTGTAAGATTGTTAGATGTAATAGTTTCAAACTTTTCAAACTGGCATAAGTCATGATCATTTTTCGATTTGTATAAAACAATGTTATCAATTCCTTGAAAGACCAACACGGAGCGTCCATAAATCGAGCAGATTTGAATATCAAATATTCTTGGAACAAATAATCGCCGACAAAGCCTGTGCAATATAAGTTTGCTTATATAGAAAATATTCTATAATTGTATTATATCATTTTGAACATTGAGAAATATAATTTCAGCATGTGCATGAAACATTTATATGTATATAAATAAGAAATAATTTAAAACTTTTTGAAATAAATAAAAAGTGTGTTCTTTCTTAAAATTTTTGTATAAAAATATTCTAATAAAAAAAGTATTAAAATGTATAGGCATAAAAGTATATTCAGTATTTAGTTAATATTTAGTAATTTTATTTAGTAAATTATTTAAAACATAATTCTTTTTATTTTCTGCTATAAATTATTTATATAATTAATTATTTTTTGTTATAAATTATATATATATATATATATATATATATATGTATATGTATATAAAATTATGTAATGACCACATATTGATGCGATGACTATTATAATCAATATTAAAACCGTAAATATCGATCATTGATTGTCCTTCGAGATATACATCATTGTTGAGTAGCAATAATTCATACTGATCTTCTTCTCGGACAAATTCCATGTCTTGAATTTGTTTTTGTATAGGCCATGTCGAATACAATGTATACGTATTTCCAAAGATTTTATACCAATACAAATAATAGCTTTGTTCAAATTCAACCAGTAGAACTATCATTAAATTGATAATATGACTCTCATTAGATTCTTCGGTATTTAAATTAAGAACTTTAAATTGTAATATATGTCCGTAAGTTATTATATTCATAATATATTCAACTGACAAGTCATCAAACACAATTTCATAGATAAACAATGTTGAATTCTCAGCACGAATAAAGTAAGTAGTTTCCGCTTGCAAAACTTGCCAGTTAATGTTATCGGGCATATTGAATTTATGCAATGAAATATTTGTCACAATAATTTCTGAAAAGAAACACATTCTTTTAAATTATAAATAGTTGGAGTGAGAAAAATTACAGTTTTATTTGTATAATAAAACAATAAGCACAATATTATAGATATTCTATAAAAAAGATTAAATTACTAAATGTATATAATTATATTAGATGGTCTCAATTATTTAATTTTTTATGTTATGACAAAAAATGTATATTAGTATAAAAAATAAAATAATTGATATGCCTCCTTTAACTCTTTATAATTTATTTATAATTTTCTTTATAATTGATATATGATTTAATCATATTTAATTAATTTTATATTAATATATATATATACACTTATACTTGTTAATACTAATTTAATAATACATTTAATAACAATCACCTTCTCGATTTCCAGCCCCAGTGCCAAATTCATATTCCTGCCAAATTGACGATGTGTCTTCGTGATTCCGTGGTCGTCGAAATGATCTAGTATTACCAAGTATTTTATCCAATGTCTTAGACATTTCTTCGATATCCTGGCATTTTGCATTATTCACGAAAATAGATAGAAAGATGAAACACACGACAAGATCTTTACTCTGTAACATTCTGGATGTGTACTGAGACTTAACTGTGAGATTCTCACGTTTAATATCTCGTAAATATCCTCATACGATTCATAATATTTTGATTACTCATTGAGCCAAATGCTGACATCCAAAATCCAACACATTCTTCAAATTTACCTAAACGTTTTATTTTAAAATTAAATAAGATATTAACAAGATATTTCCCAGCTTGTGTCTGTACTATATTTTATTAATAATTATACATTCTCTCTCATAAAATATAATTTTATTAATAATACAGTTTAATAAAAAATTGAAGAACATACAAGAGATTAGTTATTTTCCGTAATTTTTTTATGCTGAATGCAATTGTGATATAACAATCAATCTATCAGTCACATAAGTCTATTATAAACACTATTGATCTACGCATGCTACGCACGTTATATATATATATATATATATATATATATATATATATATTGAAATCCGATAATCTAAAATATTCTTAGCATAATGGATTATATATACATTATACATAAATAGTTACTATTTTTTTATACATAAATACAGGGTTCGCAGGAGTTGCTGCGCAAGATACTACCATATCTTGTATATATTCAATATAAGAAGATTATATATATGTTTTCCATAAGCATAAGATGTTCTTTTCAATTAATTATTTAATTATTTTTAAATTATATTTTTTTAATTTTATTTATTACGTTTGTATTATTCTCTCTACATATTTTTTGTTTATTATATTTTATAAGAACTGTTGATAACTTGAATGCATTTAACAATTAAACTAATAAACGTTATTGTATAATTTACCATTTTTTTATATCTTTTATATTTGTTATATATAAAAAAGAGTTTAAGTAGAATAGATAAATTCTTGTGTATAGATACTATAAATAATTTTTCAAAATTCTTTTGGTTTCTCCAACAATCGTATCATATATTGTTGTATGATGTTTCAACCAATTTATTTGTAATTAAATCAAATACACATCAAATTACAAAACAAGATTAAAAAATTGTCAATAAAAGATATAATTTTTATAATGAAACATCATTAAAGCAATATAAAAAATATAAATTTAACTTTTTACAATATATTAAATATTGAAGAGTATTGAAAAATTGTATTCAGTATTGAATATTATATAACAAAAAATGAAACAAATATATATACATATATCAGACATTTAAGCCTCTAAATTATGAATATAGATATAAGAATCTAAGGATTAAAGTAACATTTACATTGGAAAAAATATTACGTAATAAAATTGTTCTTTATAAATTATGGTACACTGATTGGTAGAAATCTTGTTCTGTCGCCAACTTTCGGTTGGAATCTTAGGTTCACTTTTTCGCTGTCGTCGTCACCAACTTCGAGAAAGGTATTCCAGTCCACGAGAAAATAGAGACCGCTTCTTCGTTTAGTTGGTAAAACAGGATCTGGTGCACGAGTGGTTCCACCAAAGGATTCCTCTAGTGCTATAAGATTTGCATTTGTGGATGTCGATGGCATTGGTACGGGTGATAATATATCCGGAAGAAGAATTGAGCCATTCTTTGCTGAATCTGATTCAATCGTGGGCGTTGTTGTTGGGATCGTCGAGGAAACATTTATAGATTCTGCACAAGATTCGTGATAAAGTTGTTGATAAAGTGTTTGATATTTTGCGCATTTTATTTTGCAAGTGATTTTGGCATGCTTAATAATGAATATATAAAGATCAATTAAAAGCATTACTAAAAATTGTAGTGAATTTTGCGACCACAAATATAAATCTGAAGCATACAAAATAATAAAGTATACACAATAATAAATCATAAAGTATGCAAGCATAATTTGAAAAATAAATTGATGATGCTGAGAGCATAAAATATTAATAAGGAACATCATATTTGCAACAAAAATTGCTAATAAAAAATCATCCTAAAAACTTCTTTACACAAATACATACATAAGAGAGTATCCATATTTATATATATTATAAACAGAAATTCACAAATTAAAATATTTAACAATTTTTAAAAATAATAATATTAATCTTTCAAAATGACAAAAGATTTAATATCAATTATCAAAATAGATTTTTTCAATTGAGATTATACAGAATTAATTTCTAAAAGACTCTAAATGAATTTCTTTCCTTTCTTATAAAAAATATTTTATACGCATGATGATGTACATATTAAAAGAAAATTTTATGGAAATTTTGCATAAAATAACTCATAAAATAAAGTTAATGTGCTCTGATAACTAAATCATATATATTCTTGTAAATCTCTCTATTTTTTCTATGCTTTTAAATAATACTTTATAGGTATATATCTTAGTGTTAAATATGTAATATTATTTTTTTTGAGTAAAATTTTAAATTCAAGAACTAAAAAAATATTATAATTATAAAGTAAATAAAAATTATAAGCAAATAATTTAAGATTTTAAAAAAGCAGACTTTTGATTTCTAATGTGAAATATGAGAACTCTCTACTGTATGATTTCTTTACAGTTTAATTTATTGCATCAAAAAAATTCTAAAAAAAATTGCACATGTATGTATGTAAAGAAAATTAAAGCTTTTATTTAATTGATCATGAATAATACTGATGACTATAAAATTGTGTTCGAGTTACGAACCAATTTGTGTATAATCACATCTAGCACGTGCAATAACAACATTTGCGTAACAACATTTATAATACATTGCTATGAGGGCAAGAAAATGTAGGCTAAAAGTCATATTCTTAGCTGACAGTAATATACATATATGCGCATAAGAAAGAGTCAGCATGCAAAAAACTTGTAAGGATTGCAGAGATAAATTGCATGCCAATACAAATCGAAATTTATCGAACGTTACAACACGGTAGCAATTTATTTTGTCCTTATTATATTTTGTCCTTATTTTATTATTATATAAGGACATCAGATTTTTCGGCATTAGATTTCGATTATTTGAATAAGCTTTACTATTATTCAATGTAAGTAACATTAAAAATTCATTTGAAATTGTTCAAATTAATTTACAACTTTTTTTATATAGTTAAATTTTGTCTCTTAAAAATATTTGTTATATTATCAAAAATATCTATTGCATCATTAAGATTGCAAATATTTGAAATATATATAAATAATGAAATAAGCCATACAAATCACTATGATTATTGTACAGCTAATAATAATTTAAATACATAACATTATTCACTTCATATCTTCTATGGCATCCAAATTATGTAAAAATATATTAGGTATCAATATTAATTAAGTATTAATTAATTTATACATTTTGATATTATTAATATCTCTGTTATCAATCTGCAAATTTTTTCTTGAAATATAAAATTAGATTTAAACAAATATAAAGCGAAAATATTGAAGTAGAAAGGGAAGAAGTTGTAGCCAAAGAAGATCATGCGGAGAGAAATGCAGCAAAATATGTAGATAACAACCTTCCAGAATAAGTCTATTTAATCGAAAGGTCATCTAAACATATCCCTTATATTAATTAGCGTGCGCTCGATCCTCGTGAAACTCTGAATAATTCGTTTAACCCAAGATTCCGAAGTGCCCAAAATGGATATCATAAATCTTTTTATACCAGTAGTTGTTGTCGTGTTCTTCGCGAGATCTTCATCGCCAATAGTGGTTGTCTCAACAGGTTCTTCCGGATTTTGTCTTTTTACTTCATTCTTTATGTCTTCGTTATAGATTCTAATAATGTCTTCTACATCTAGCGGATTTGGACCATCCTTCAGGGTTTTCATGTTTATGAGCAAGTCGTCGGCTACCCTTTGCACATCCTCCGTATTTGTCTTACCCTCTTGAACTAATTTGTTGATAATGTCCAATAACTCGTTGATTTTCATCTTTTGTCTTTCGTCCTTTACTTGGACTTCATGGGGTTTAAATATATGGAACTTGGTTGTGTTTTTTGGTTCTACATCCTTCTCTCTTTCCTTCATTTTCGGTACTGTTTTCGATGTCTTGCGAGAACCTATGAGACCTATATTCTCTAAAATTTGCCTCATGTTATCCGGAACAACCTCGATCAACGATGGCCGTTCTGTCGATACCGGCATAGCTTTCTTTTGCCTATTATCACTGATGCCAAGACCGAACTGTGCCAAAAATTCTTTCATATCTTCATTTTTTATCTTAGACGTCGGTAAAGGTTTGAAATTTGTATAAGAATTTGTATTCACGGTTGGCCTGGGCGTGGATGTTGTGGTTGTCATTAGATTAGACTTCTGCAGACCGAATCGCTGAAAGAGTAACTGTACATCTGGCGTTAAATTATTCATTCCTTTTCCAATCTCTAGAACAGGATTGTTGAAAGTATTTTGAGCTGTTATCGAGGGCGAATCTGGTACAACGCCTGTCAGGCCGGAAATCGTTGGATAAACAATGCCGTTACTATTGGAAATGACAGATTTATTTTTCAGACTTTCTTCATTTTTTTTAAACACTTCCTCCACATTCGTAGAATTTTCCGGTCGAAGTCCAATTGAAGCAAGCAATTCCATGACTTCTGGTCGCATTGTTGTTGTTGTAATATCACGAAAACCTCCAGAATTTAAATTATAAGTAGAATTGTATTTTTCGGAAGAAGAAGAAAGAGAAGAGGATGTTGGTGTTACATAGACAGAAGTTGATTGCTCCGCATCCGTCATTTGTATTTTTTCGAGTGGTATCTTCGTAATTTCTGGAGGATCCTCAACTTTACTAATTACAGTTGGCATCACAACGTCTTTTAATGATATCTTAAAAGGCGAATCTAAAGATTTCAATGATGTCGTAGGACTTTCCGTAGTACTTGTTGGTGCGTTATAATGCCATTGATCAATAGATAAAACATTTTCATTGTATTTCAAAGGACGAGATGTTGTTTGTGATTCTTTTAAATTAATCGTCAAAATATTATCCTTCTTAGAACTCGTCTCCACTGGTCGCATTGTTGTCGCACTTGTACTGTATATTATGTAGACTTCTTCATTTTTAGTTGATGAAGATTCTCTTTGAAACACTGGTCGCTTAGTGCTAGTTGAAGGTGCTTCATTGATCGCTGATTGCTTTTGTAGATTGTCCAAATTAAAGCTAAATTTGATTGGTGCCGATTCAAATTTCAATGTCTCCTTTAACGGCGTTTTACGCATTTCCGAATATGTTTCTCTGTGATTTTTATATTGCGTTTTGATGGATGAATTCTCTTTCTCTGAGGCATGTGTTACTACCAAATTTTCAAGAGGTTCTTCACCACGTTGTATTTTCTGTGTAAGTGTGCTGTATGGTAATTTTTCGCTTTTCCACACATTAAAGTCTTTCGAGTCTTTAGAAGAAGAGTCTGCAATTATTTGAACTATCGGTGGCTTGGTATATAGATCTTTTATATTGTCTTTCGCATCTTCTGCATTGTATGGTAAAACCACCATTAATGCTCTTTCATAAAGCTTTCTTGCTTTCTCAATTGTCTCTTTATTTTTAAGCGTCTCTAGGTTTTTGGATGTTGTAATGTTTAAAAGAATTTCGACGATTTCATTCCTAGTGAGATGCGGCAAAGTCGAGTTCTCACGAATCAATCTCTCGACTTCGTTAATCGTTCGATTGATCGAGTTCTCAACTTCAATTTTTGATGGAAGATCATCGCCATGACTTAAACCAAAGACGATCAGCATGCACAATAACACAATCTAAAAAAAATAGCAATTATTCGAATTTCAATGCAACAAATATTGAAAAAATAAATGCAACATTTTATAGTTATTATACAAATTATTCACAGAAAGATTGTAATGAATTTTAGAAATATTAGTATTTTAACATAATTTAGGATACAATGATTAATTATTACATTCTAAATTATATAGTTATAATTTTATAATGATGTTAAAATTGGCTTTTCGGTATAGTTACATTATAAACTCAAACATATATATAATTTCAGCTAATTCAATAATCGAATTTTATAATGTATCTAACTCCGCAATATTTCTGATTTTCCTATATATAAATTGTGTATATAAATATATTTTACAATAGTAACCTTTTCTTGTGAGCCCAAATATGATTTATAATTAATTGCAATATATTAAGCACATATAGAATGTTGTTAATTTTTTCTTTCTTTGTTAAATATAATGTAAATTAAAAATTGATATACCCATAAGATTTATAACATAATATTGAATAATGTTAATACGAATTACAAAAGTATTATAAAAGCAATTTTCATTTAATTTTAATATATCTTTTCTTAGAAATGTTTGTATATATTTACGCGGATGTCCTAGATATATGAGAAATCATCTCATACATATTAATTTACTAGATGGAATTGCCTTAATAATACGTAAGCTATGATTACGCAATTGTACCAAAGAAAAACGAGTCAAAGATATATGGCAATTATATTTTTCATATTCATGAGCAGAAGTTGCAAAATAAATCTTGACTAGATCGCTGATGTCAAAGAGCATAGTTGACTAACTTTCACAGTCTATATCCTTTCATTTCAACATCTTTAATACTCATGATGCGTACATAGTTTATATTTTGTTAAATTTATAAAATAATCAAATTTGTTATGAGATATATCTACAAAAATTTTAAAATATTCAACGTAGTTTAAAATAAATTTTATCGTAAATATTTCCAAAATTATATAAAAGCGCATTGATTAATTTCAAAACGCATATTACTTAGAAATGAATCCTTTACAATATATGTATCAAAGTCAAGATAGTTCGTGCTGTAAGTTTTGTAGAGAATTATTAATCATTCTTATTAATCAAATTACATGATACTTATTAACTACATTTTTCAAATCACAATTCACAAGTATCAATATTTTTTTTCTTATTAAATTTGTTTTGTATCCATTCTTTCAAGAATATAAGAAGATACGAAGCAGTTCTATCAAAGATATTTTTGTAAATTTTAAATTTATATAAGGATAATAATATTTTTACTAAAATATAAATTATAATAATATAATAACAAATATGTAATAATAAATTTACGCTTATATCATACAGTATGCTTTTTTCTAACAAGCAATTATTTTACAATATTAACAATATAAATATTTATTTCATGTAATGAAAAAGAAGAAATAATACATTATGAGACCAACGCAATCAATTTTTTACGACAAAATCAATTTCCACCTAATCGATGATTCGATAAATTCGGCAATTAAATTTTTGTATTTTATTATATTATTAAGCATGAATACAATATTTATTTGCCATAATTATAAATTTATTGATGTATTGTGATATCACAACGGGAAATTACAAGCGAAATTTGAAACGAAAAATATGGCTTTAAAACAACAATTCTTACAATAGAAAAGATCTTCATAAACTTGATGATAATTGATTTTTCCATCATAAATATTTTCAATCATAAAACATTGAAATAAATATTTATTTTGCGGTTTTTTCCAGTTTTAAATCGCACAGAAAATGCTTGAGAAATAATCACGAATGCATGTATATAAAAAATTTGCTTAACGAGCGTACAGCAAAAACGTCACCGGAAAGAGCCAACTTTCACAATCTGATGTCATGCAATGTTGAAAAATATTTACCAGTTTTCATTGCAAAAAATTATAATTACTGATATATATGCAAAATGCAATACAATAAATACAATTAATTAAGAAAGCATTGAAAGATATAATATGAAGAAATAAACCAATTTTTGAAGAATAAATTCATAATTGAAAAATAAGCATTAACATAATGTTTATGACAGTACCTTGTGAGCTTAATTATTAAAATGTATATATATTATTATTAATAATTGTACATATGTTATTGTTATTAACAAATGTATATATATATATATATATATATTAGTATTAATAATTTGGTAATAATCTAAATATGATTTATATGACAAATAGAACTGGAATAAATATAACGATATGTAGCGATTAACATACAAGTAGAATAATTATTTATAAGAGGGTATAATTCTGTAACAATTATATTCACATAACATTCAAATATTCAAATGTTCTTGAGTTATTTTATTAGTTAGTTGTTTTATCACATTTAACGCAAGCAAACAACATTTGCCATGTTACAATATTATGGATACAAAGTTTATTTTCACTTCACGTTTGAAAAATCATCTTCCCAATTTTAATTTTAAATTATTTTGATTTATCAATTTTAATTTGTTACAATATAAATCTCTTTTGACAATCTTTGATTTCGATGCCATCGCACAAACATATCAAACCAATATCTATAAAATAATGTCAAATTCGTACAGGAAAATTGAAAATATTTCATGCTTTCCCAATAATAGAAAATGCATCACTCACTTGACGATGTTCGAAAACTCACCATTATGCTAACCAATCGTCCAGACACGTAGTCGACAACTGACTGAACGACTAAGACCTACTTTCAAACTCTCTCTCTATCTTATTTTCTTCAGCTGCCCTGACGTATAACCGCGCGTCAACCTGTTCTTTGCCGACAGAGCAAGTTATTAAAATTAAACATTGCAAGGGAGAGCATCCATGAAAAATATTTATGATAATAATGCTATTTATAATATTAATGCTAATATTTTTTAAGTCGTACATAAAGACTATATTTACTGGCACTTTTAATTATTGTAACAATTATTAATAGAGTCTAATGATAATAATGTCGTTCGTATCATCAAATAAACAAGAACAATTTATTATAAATATCTAGAGATTAAAATTTAAAAAAAATAACCGACATTTCATTTCTCTTAAATTGAGTAAAATAATTTTTTTTATACACTAACTGTGCACAATTTAAATAGTAGGAACGTGTTTTATATCATAGATATATGTGAATATCTAAATACATAAAATATCGTATTTATTTCCTTTAAGAAATTTTATGATCAATGATACTGTTTGCTATTACTAAAGTAATATTAAAACACTTATATCTTGAATCTTAAAAAAAAATATTCAAATAAAGTTATTTAAAATTCTAATAAACTTTAGAATTCCTTGGATTAGATAATATTTATACTTTGATCACGACTTTTATAGTATAAATTAGAGTATCACGTGAAGATGTGATAGGTACATTTTAAACCTTGGATACTTTATAAGTTTGCAATAATGAAGATGTTATATCTAACTTTGCTAATTGTTTCGATCGTCATGATCTCTAGTGCTCAAAACATTAATCAAACTGCTACTGATCAAGAAGAACTGAAGACATATACTAAAGAAGCCGAAAAAATAGAAGAATATGATACTACCATGGTATGAAAAATGTTTGTGTATATGTATGTGTATGTGTACATGTACATGATAGAACTTGCATCTTTTAATATTTATATTTTTACTTTAATATTTATATTTTTACTTTAAAAATTATCAATTATCAATTTTTGACAATTTTTTAATATAAATATTAAATTTAATATATATTTTTATAAAAATTTTGCAATTATTTAAAATTGTTTAAAACAAAATAGTCATATTATAATCTATAGTGATGTATTTATGAAACCTGTGCATACAATATGTATATATATTTTTCTGTAGAATAGTTCCTAAAAAATAAAATAAAAAATCAAGAATTATTTATTATGTCCATACTCTAAATGGGATATAATTTTTAATGTCTGAAAAATAAAAGTTTTTAAAAGAATGTTTTATACAAATCATAGTGCGTAAAGTATTTTTCTTCAGTTCGTGAAATATAAGAATGTATAACAAAAAGGTAGGAATTAAATATTAATTATTTTCTTGTATATTTTTTTCAGAATACATGGTGTTTAGAGTTTTTGTGGGAAGTTGCCTATAAATGCCTTCGACTTATGTACTGGGAGCAATACTAATAGTAATTAATAATACAATACAATCAGCAAATAATTAATACTATAACGAATAATGAAAGTGTAACGATGATATATCATTTGATGTTGTGAGGAATTGCACGAAATAATAAGTTTCGTATCGAAATTATGTATAATACAATATGTATAATTACTCTACTGTTATTATAATAAAATAAAATCCTTTATTAATAAATATCAATATTATGTAAAATCTCTCTGCAAATTGTAAATCTTAATATATTATATTTTATTATAGTATAATATATAAATCATTATTTATATATTATAAATCGTAACAATATTTTATAAAGATTGATAATTATTAATATTTATATAAAAATAAATTTTACTTGAAATTTTTTGATATTATTTTATTTATCATAATTTTTATTGAAAAGTAATGTGAATATGAGATAAGTTCTCTTTCTCTCTGCCTCCTTCGTTTCCTCTCTCTCTCTCTCTCTCTCTCTCTCTCTATATATATATATATATATATATATATATATATATATACATGCAACTGTGAGTATTATTAACAAGGAAAAGTTCTCTCTGAACCTGAGATTCGAATTTTAAATATTCAATAATATTTAAATGAAATTTTGAGCTTTTCGATAAAATAGTTTTTGTCATGTCCAAGAAGCCTAGAATCGATTTTAGATATTTAGAATTCCGATCTTAATTTAAGATGTCCTTTTTGTAAGTAATTAAAATTTTAATTATGTATTATATTTTGAAGCATCATGATATCAATTTTATACAAAAATTATGATTATATTATAAACATAATCCAGAAAATTTTAAACTTTATCATATAGCTTTATGCAATTTTATTTTAAGATTTAAAATAAAACTTATACTCTAATATTATCTGGTAATATTAAATATATATGTACAGGATATTCGAAATTATTGAAAATAAAGTATGATATGGTATGGCATAAAATATTTATGTTCATATTAAAGAAAGAATTCATAAGTCACGTAGAAAATAAAATTATTTATTTCTTCTATGAATTATTTGTACTTTAAATGCAAAATATTCAATTCTAGTGTTTCTTATTTTTTATTTATTACTTTATCATTTATATCATATGTAAAGAGTAACATGTGAAAAGTAACATGTGTTCTACTTTTATGCCGCATCTGCAAGATAAGATATCATTGTTGTCATAAGACGTCATTATTGACTTTTTAATATGTTCCAAAATCATTCCATTTCAATATTAATTAAATAAATTCTACTTTATAAGAAAAAGAAAATACTATTAGAAAATTCTTATTATGAAAATTATTGCTATTTTATAAATGAGAGAATTAATTTTGTAAATATTTGTAATTTTGAGAGATTAAATTAGAGTTTACTTTTGTTTTAGAAAATTTTATTTTATTTTATTGCATTTTTATTGCAATTTTATATTTCCTAAAACATAATATCTGTTAAAGAATGTGATATAACATAAAATATGTTAATTATTAAATCTTATATTAACCTTTAGTTAAAGTCTATTTCAGATTGAATAAAGAACAAGGTCTTAAATCTATATGTTTCTGTTAAGTTTTTTTAATTCATATATAATAAAAAATTTGCAGTTATATCACATTCTTCTATTAAGAAAAAATTAATTTTAATTTCGCCAAAAGATATGTCTATATAATTTCAGTAAATACAGCACTAATTTAATGACATATGTTATACAAATATTGTTTTATGTATTTTTTTAAATTTTGACACATTAACAGTAACATTAACAGTATCTAAAATATTTTATATACTTATTTTTAATATCCATATCTTATCTTTGAGATTATAATAATGCCATTTTAAAAGTGTCTTTTTTTGCGGTAAATCGCTCGCAAACTGTAATTAATTAAGATAAGGTACATGAAATATTATCAGTTTTTGCTGTATTTTATCTTTGGAATGAAAGCAGACATTTCTATGATATGCATGGTTGCTTGTCAGAAGTAAGTTAACTTCTTGCCAGAAGTGCCAGAATATCTTAACAGATGTACCATGCAAGCAGGTATTACAAACTGTATCTATAAAAATGTACATATTTCGAAATATAATATCAATTCGTTATTATATATTTAATATATATTCTTAATACGTTTTAAATATACTCTCTATAATATATTTTTTACATATCCAATTTTCATTATTCATAAAATATTTATAATTGTGTTGTTAAAAAATTGGAGTGCAATTATATATATATATTTTTTTATATCTTATTATTATTGCTATCTTATTAAAGAGAGATGATAAAAATTTAAAGTATTATAAGATTATACTAGTTTATTCAAATATATATAGAAAAAAATATAAAATTTTGTTAAAAAATGTTATAAGCTTTAAATATATATTGTATATTAAGTGACGTATAAAATTTTTTATGCAGAAAATAGCTCAAATATAGTGTAATGAAAAAACAATTCCAATTATCTTACAATTAGTCAAGGTGTTATTTGGCTTCCTGCTGCCATTCTTGATGCTAAATGGGATTGAATCTGTCTGCGACTACTTTCAAAATTTAGAAGCTGGACAAACATATTATGTGTATAATCCTGGTTTTCCCTATAAATATAAAGGTGCAAATCAGTGCACATGGCAAATGACAAGTCGTTATGTTACTAAAATAAATTGCAGTGTTGATATACCAGCGTTTGTTGTAAGTTTGTAGATAAATACTTTATCTACAAGAGATTTATGCATTAATTGGAAATTTTCAAGCATAATACAATTTAACAGAAAAGAATCCAAGAAAAAAAATCATTTTATTATATTTTACTATATTATGTAGCTACAGTATAGAATGGAAAGAATAAATTTAATATATTATTTTATCTATTCTTATATTATCTTATATTATCTTATTAATTATTATTTTATTTTATTTCATAGAATGGTTGTATTCAAGATAGTCTTTCTATCCAATTTACTGGAGGAAATATACAGAAATATTGTGGTTTCGGTACATTGGTTCTTGAAGGGACAAATCCGATTATAAAATTATATTCACCTTATTCTTCGCAAGGAGGTCAATTTTTATGTCAAATTCAAGCAGAGAACCCGTTCGATGAAAACAATTGCAAATGTGGTTGGAAAAAAGTAGTAAGTACAATTTATATTCGTAAAATATTATTTACTAATTGGTTAGTAATTATTGATTTGTAATTGACTTTATATTCTATAGCCAAGTATATAACTATTTATTAAAACTACTTTAATTTGATAAGCGTTTAAAATAAAGTATCATAATTTAAATTATTTAGACTAGAATAGTAGGCGGTACGGAAACTGGAGTAAATGAATATCCTATGATGAGTGGACTCGTTGATATTGATATAGGAGATATATATTGTGGTTGTACTATAATATCTCAACAATATGTATTGACAGCAGCTCATTGTATTGAACGTAGAGATATCACTAGAATTGGCATTCTTGTTGGTGAACACGATGTAACCACAGGTAATTTTATACTAAAATATTTAATTAATACTTATAAAAAAATTTTAAGCAAATTTTATGATTGCAATAGTATTCATATCCGATTGATCAATTGATTTCGTATGATATTTCTAAAGAAAACCAAAGCAACAAAGAAGTGCTTTTCCGAATGCATCGAGAATATTCTGGATTTCAACACTGAAATAATAGCTTAATCTTGAACTATATCATTTTGTGAATAGGTAATGAGACCAAAGCAACTAAGCTATTCCGTGTGAATAAGTGCATAATGCATCCTTATTACAAGGAAACTAGACAAGACTACGATATAGCTATTTGTAAAATTATTGGTGCCTTAAAATATAGTGCTGAAGTTGGTCCAGTCTGCTTACCATTTCAACATAAACGAGACACGTTCGTAGGTGTTATTGTAGATGTGTTGGGTGAGTATTCTCTAATTATTTTCATAATTATTGATTATACAATCTAATTTTATATAATTTATATTGTCAGGCTGGGGTTTGCTAGAATTTGCCGGCGCCAAATCAACTACGCTACAAAAAGTAAAATTAAATGTAATAAGTCCTACAAAGTGCAAGGATTATTATCCTGAATTAACCAATAGTAGTATATGTACTTATAGTCGTGGAAAGGATTCTTGCCAAGTAAAGAAATAATATTTATTAATAGTTATAACACAAGAGTGCAAAACTGTATTATTCAAAAACATAGTGAAACAAGTCATTTCAAAGATATAATTTCTTCTTTTTTTTTGTAGATGGATAGTGGCGGACCTCTCTTATGGCAAAATCCTACCACACATAATCTTGTATTAGTTGGTATAGTATCTACTGGTATTGGTTGTGGTTCAAACGAACCTGCTGTTGCAACACGTACAGGAGCCTTCATTGATTGGATAATGTCTGTAACACCTGGTAAGAATTGGCAGTAAAAGAGAAATCAGAATAATACAATACTTTTGTTACTACGAAAAAAAATCGGTGTAATATATTTATTATTCTTTTATTATTATTTTGTTCTTTTATTATTATTATATTTTATTTTATTTTAGATGTACAATATTGCAAGGTAGAATGAGTTTTGCATGACTAAAGAGAAGGATTAATTTGTAGAATTATGGATCTATGTTACATGCTTTCTGCATGTTACCAATTTTTGCAAATTATGTATTTTGAAATGTATTTATAATAATGTATGCATTAAATATCATTTAATTAGCAAAGATATTGTATAATGTATAATTAAATATTATTTAGTAGAGATATTTAATTATATATTTATCGCCATACGCAATTAAAGTATCAGATTTGAATTAAAATTATATATTAATCACATATTTAATCACATTAAAAAATATAAAAATTTCATATTTTATTTTATTATTTCTCATAATAATTATTTGCTCAAAATTTAAGTTAACATAATTTCCTAATCTGATTAAAGTTATTTAACTTTTAAACTAATCAAAATTGATTATAACTTTTAAAATAATTAATTCTTATGAAAAATTGTGCATTACAGCACTAGTTAATAAATTTAATAAAGATAAAATATTGTTAAATCAAATTTTCCGTTTATTAATTTTAACGAATTTATTAATTTTAACATTTATGTTAAGTTTTATTTGAATTTACTAACCGTTCAAAAGTTATTTAAAACTACACACAACAAAACATGATGCAGTTATTGAGTGCAGTAAATATCTTTGATTACTGAATCCCAGTGATCTTAATATGATCTTAAATATTGCATCTGCACGAATCAATCTCGATTAATTTCGTAATATGCCCTCGCCATGGCATACGCACAAAATAATAATATTCTTTAAAAAGCTTATAATAATTTTAATAATAATTAGAAACACAGAGAAATATTGCAATAATCGTAGCTATCGTAGCACGTTGCAGTTGTAAAACTCAAGATCTAAGCTTTCCACAAAATGTCCATTTTGTTGATCAAGAATCTCCTTAATAAAACGGAAATCATCTCTGGAATCGCGTAATAATATATCTTTTCTTGCATGAAAAAATTAGACTCATGATTAGCTTAAGAAAATCATATTTAATTGAAGCTCTAGATAAAATAGTAAGATTTTAAAAAATCTCTGGAAATTATTTTTTGAGCGTATAAAAATAACATTAATTTATTTCGTTGAACAATTTATAAATTTTAAACATGCAAAACAAAAGTGAGTAGAAAATATTTGACGGCATGTACGAAATATTCTGGATTTAAAATATACTTACAATTAGTGATTTTTAATTCATATTAGCGAAGACTTATTAAACCTGAATTGAATAATCTTATTATGATAAAAACAAAATGGTAAAGTAATAAGACTAAGATATAATAAAAGACATGCAAATATATAAGTTCTAGACTTTTAATTAGATATATGATTCTTGATTTACAGTTAATTTGCAGTATATTCAACATACTTTGTCAAAATTTGAATGATAAATTTTAAAATACGAACAAGAAAAATCGCTGTTTTTCTATTATATATAAAGTGTCTGTCGTAACGTGGCGTTGATATATTCTTGTTAGAGTTGATATTATATTTCTCTACAAAATGTATCGTTAATTTAACATAAAATTAAATTAAGTGATGATTTTTTCAGATTTAAGCAGTCAGAATACTTTATTATTTAGTGCTTCTCTCTTTCTGCGATATTATTCTCAACTGAAATTGAAAGTCAGAAGCAAATAGCGTAGAAAATGAAATAAAAATTATAATAATATGGTATATTATCTTGAGAGATACTGATATTATGTTGCGATATAATAGAAAAAGAATTGAAAAAAATGAATTAATTTTTTTTACATCGTTTATCTATAGCTTATATTTTCTACGATCATTACACTGTATTATTTGATTGTTAATACGCATTTTAAAATTATTAAATATGTTACCAAAACAGGATAAAATATTTTTTAATATAATTATTGCACAACTAGTCTTTTTGGTAATTATTTGTCTCATAAAATACATACATGCGCGCGCGCGCGCACACACGCACACACACACACACACACACACACACACACACACACATACATACACACACACATACACGTACGCATGCACGCACACAAGGTATTCTATGCAAGCAAAACTAGGCAGAATTATTTTAAAATGATTAAAAATCGAAAAAAATATCACAAGGTAAAATTAAATGATTTTTAGACGCATCACATTTTTATATTGCTCTTATGTATATTTATGCATAAGTCAATCTCTGCTGATAGAGTCACAAATGCTACAAACTTAAAATTAAAATAATTTCTAAATTAACTTTCTAGATATTTTTAAAGACTGAAAAAGTACAATTAGTGTATCAAAAAATATATTATTCTATTTTTAAAAATAATATGCAATTTGCAATTGGATTCATGCATAAAAATGCATAAAAGTGATATGGAACAAGCTTAAAAATATTTAATTGTGCTTTCTAAAATTTTTATATCCAACTATTATAAAGATACAGCTTCGTTCATTTGCATGGGATACCCTGTATATTTACAAATTGTATACAAATAACGAATTATAAAATCCAATAATTCTTAATTTTTATCACAGAAGAAAAGCGAATAACATATCATAGTATTATATAAACAAACATATATATATTAATCGAAAGACTGACTACTATTTTTATAACAAATTATTATTATCTTTTTTTCTTTTTTTCGAAATCATTACATTTTAGTTATGTAAACGCACAATATAAGAATTATTTCAAAATAATTAAAACAAACGCGTATGTATAAAATAGTGTATTGTTGTGTAGTGAGTGTTCTCTAGTGTAAAATGAAAAGCAAAATATTGACAAATATTAACAAATTTGAAAGATGAATTAAATAAAGACTATATTACTGCACATTTTCTTTAAAAGAAGTTAATAACGAATTTTCTTTACACAAATTCTATTTTTATCTCGATGAAAAAGGATTTAACGAAAGAACGTTATTGCATCGATTCTCAGTTCTTTTCTCCGGCAAGAGAAACTTTACTCTCTAATATGTAATAATAATTGCGCTTTACAAGTCAAGTATTGGTAAAAAAGAACTTATATACACCCCATGAAGTTGCTCTTACAAAGAATTTTCATTATGCAATATTTCGAACATGTCGATTTAATTCTTTGCCGATTCTTTGCGATGTTTTGCTCTTCATTTAAATTAATATAATAAATATGTGCGCCTTTTTTAATGACAATATCGATAACAAAGATAAGCAATTGTTATATTCAACATTTAAAAGTGAAAAATATGACGTGAAAAATATAATAAATATGAAATAAAGAATATAACAAGGCAAATTAAAATACACAATTAGAGTACAAAATTAACATACACAATATTTTGATTAATTATATACATACAGGAAGGATATTTAAAATTTTTTATTATAATAAATGATTAATGATTTTCATTATTTAAAGAATTCAATAATCCAAGCAATATTATTTTACAATTGCTTATTTTTGACCGACATTAAAATCGCCTAATTAAAATTTACGCACGTCAAAGACTATTAAAATAATAACATTTTTGAGCATTTCATTGATATTATATATATATATATATATATATATACATAAATATAATTTCATTAAATATAATGACAATAATTAGCAATTAGCATAATACTATCCGATATTGCGTCATACTATGCGTTTGAGTGCAAATGTACCACTGTAGAGCAAAAAGTTGATGGAAACGTACATAATTCATCGCAATCGCTAATTTTACAATATTGCAACGGTCACATATTTGCACACATCTTAAACAATAATTAATCTTATTCTAATTGTTTACTATCACTCAACGATCAGTGCGACGATGTTAACCGACGATTAGTGAAAATCGCATTATTGCGGATTCTACATTTACATTACTAAATTCTAGATTGGATTTTCAAATAACATGAGAACAAGATGTACATACAAATGATCTTTGTTCTTAACGAGGAAATAAAAGGTACAAATAAAATACACGCTCATTGAATTTGAATGAAGGGACAGGATTGTAATTATCATTGTTTTGTCCATCATTCTGGTAAGCAAGCTTTTCCAATTTCATTTCTTCCTTATTGCTTGGTTGATCAAGAGAAATTAATTGCACTTTTTGCTTATAAAAAACAAGAAGTCATTTCTTTAAAAGTACAGCATTTCATTGAAAGAGCGAAAGAAGAAATAAAAAAAAGAGAGAATAAATATTCGTCTAATATATATGAATAGCAATAAACTATTCGTAAATTCTAGTATATTGTTTTTTGAATAGTAAATTCGCAAAATAAAATATTCTTAAATAATAATCGGGAAAATAATCGATTCGGTTAATAAAAACAAGACGAAAAGAAATAAAAATATTTAGATAATTTATAGGAATCATGTTATTCAGCACCGTTTTATTCGACGACAGAGCGTAGAATTTAATCTTGATATTATTTATGGAATAATTCGATTGGCCTTAAATCGCTGAGTCGTATATATTAATGATAATGTAGCAATAATTTATTTTCGCATAATATATTAATGATACTGTAATAATACTGTCGCGACTTGTCATTATATTAAATACTTTTTCGAAGCTCAATAACTTCTATAAAAATCCTCTTGACGTTCAAAAATTCTGCTTACAACGACTACAAATCCTGAGAAAGTCTTTTTGTTTGTGATACTATAGTTTAACAAAAATTAAATTTTCTCAGACTTACATTAAAACAAAAGTTGATCAATCTCTTTATATAATTTTCTTTTATATTATAAATATAATTCCAGCCTCTTAAATATCGTATTACATTACAATTTTGAAAAATTGAAGTTAAACTTGTATAAAAAAGATTGTCTTAACAAAAATTTTAATACTTAATTAATGTTATATTTGTAATATGTGTGATGAGTCAAATAACTTTTATTTTGTGTTCGAAATTAATCAAATATATAATTAATTAAATATAATTAAATATATTGTCGGAATATTCAATACTTAAAATATATTATCATATTAATAATATTTGATAATGAAAAAATTTTAACCTTAACATTTAAATTTAATATTTATAACAAATATCTTGTAAAAGCTTAAAAATTTAAAAATATATTTAATTTTTGGCAGAAATAAAATTTTTTCCAGTATATCCTACAATATTTACGTTTAATTAGCACAAATTATGTTGATATAGTCTTTCTCATATTTTTAATCTCAATTTTCTTAAAATTATAAAGATTTTTTGAGCCAAAATCATCTTGAACATTAAAAAATTAATAAATTTTTCTTTTTATTTTTTCATTTTTTTGTTGAACTGATTATTTTTTATGTTAATTTTACGAAGCAGTGAATCAAATACTTGATGGTGAGTTGAGCTGAATATTTACAAACATTTCTTTAAACAAAAAATTTTAAAAACATATTTTGAACAAAGAAATAGATTTTCCTCTACATTATATATACAATAATTAACTTAGTAAATTACTAGAATTAAAATTATAATTTAAAGTACTCTTTTTTATCATTTCAACTTCAATTTTTTTTATTGTAAAGACGAAAATCGTGAGCATTAAAAAATTATTATATATTTTCAATTAACAATGCCAATAAATTTCAATAAATTATCAAATATAACTACAAATTTAAATTATATAATGATTAAATCCACGTTCGGGACAGAAATTTCTAATAATTTCTCTAATATAATGAAGAATGATGTTTGATTTTTATACTTAATGCAATAATAAAACTATAATTATTATATATTTCTATAGGTTACAATAATATATAATTACAGTATAACAGTTATGTTTTATTTATCAGTTTTAGCATCGATTATGGTCTAAAAAAATTCTACTTAAAACAATTTATGAATTAACATTTAGATATACACATAAAAAATTTTGTCTTAAGCTTTAGTTTATCAAGCAAAAATAATCGAATGATGTCATTCCCGTTTAATCGCGAACGTATAAATAAACAATAATCAACTAGTATTAGATTAGCTAAATATTAAATATCAATTTTAGATCTTTCCATATATATATAATGACTTAATTTTTTCTCACTTCATGAATTTTTAAACTAAAATATAATACATTATATTTAATTTAATAATCTTTTCTAAAGACAAAATATTAATACTTTAATTAAATTGAGATTATTGAATGTGTTTGTGAAAATTGAAATTTAATGGATAACTTTAAAATCATTAGTCTTATATTTACAAATGAGCATTTATATTAATTAAAAATTTATTTTTCTCAACATAATTATGTGTGCACGCATGCATGCACGCACATACATATATACATATATTCATACATGTGTGTATATACATGTATGTATGTATAATATAAATTTGTTTCAATCAAATTAGAAAATTAATTTTAATTGCAACATAATATTATAATTACATTTTTCTTACTGTTACAAAATTCACCAAATTAGAAAACATTCTATAATATTCGTACCTCAATAAATAATCAGTAGTAAATATTCAAATTAGGTCATTTTTTTGAAACAGATTTGACAAAATTTTAGAACAAATTTAATATAAGATTTTAGAACAGATTTAATACAAGATTTGATGTAATACAAGGAAGATTTAATTTCATGGAAAAAAGCATGAGACATCAGAAGAAGACCTTCAAAGGTACATCTTTCAATTCGCAAAGAGTACATTAAGAGATATATGGGACCAACCAGGCTTTCCATCGTTCTCGAACTTCTCAAAGTTACATTCGCTCAGGTATTCTACCAGGGTATCCATCCAGAAACGAAACGCTTCTTCTCGCAAAGTGCTCAGCAATGTTCAGTCGTTCAGTCGGAACCTCCTTCCTTCCTCCGCGGACATGATTTTATTGATCCTCGCGAAACACGACACACTTCTCATTGGCTACGAAAGCTTGCTTAAAAAAACTAACTTTGGCAATAAGATATAATGTATATGTATCTAACACACATATACGAGTTTCATGCAATGTAATGTCGCGCATAATTATCGTCGATATATAAGAAAAAGGATGACTTTTTTTTATCTTCTTCGTGTTTTCATCCATTTAGTATAATGCCGGAAGATTTAGATGGGATTTATTTGTTTCATATTAACTTTTATATATATATATATATATATATATATATATATATATATAATTTATGTATGCATGTATATGATTATGTTGGTATTGGTGCGCGCGTATGTATATGTGGTACATATTAAATGTGTTTGCAGTACTATTGTGTTTAAAGATGCTGTTTTATGCACTAATGTTTACAGGTTTTGTCTCAAAGACTGCTTCCAAACTCACTCGATCTTCGTCGGTCGATGTGCTTCATGTATGTCTCCGAATATATGCTTTTAGTACGATCGTCATATCTGGAAACAGAATTAACATTATTGTATCTGGAATCAAAATTAAAGGTCGAAATTAATTTCTTCCGCAAAGTTACATAAAAATGAAATTTTGTACAATATCCATTTATCCTTTAAACTGATACATACACACACATGTATACATACATATTTATATATATATAGAAGTCCCAAATTTAACAATCGCAGTTTGCTATTATATTCTATGGATAAAAAAAATGTTAAATGAATATTGTTTTGGAAACGCTTTATTAAAAAATTGTAACAAAAATATTATACATAAAAAAATTGCGAATACATGCAGATGCATAACATATTTATCAATATTCGATATTTCTGATCAATATCTAATAATCGTTTATTTTAACTATGTTTTTTATTGTAACTTGATTGTGAAAAACTGAGAATGTAAAAATGTATTAAATATCATATACACAAATATCAATTGTTGAATTGTGTTACCATAAATTGTACTGGGAATAAAAAAATAAAATAGTTCCTAATTTTTAATAATCCTTACTTGTCAGTTTATTCTTGTGTGTTTATTGCAGTTCAGTCGTCATCGTGCATCATTGCGGATGCAACTTGTGCATGAGATACGCAGTGTATGTAATTGAACAGAATAATGAAGTAATTGGCGCAGAGAATGAAAATGGAGATACATGACGCCATACATCTATGCGGATTAAAATAGGTTTAATTTATGAGTTTAATGATATCCTTTCTTGGATTCACAAATGCTTGAGATAAATTCGTGTTCATATTAATCGTTTTGTATATATTCATCGTTTTATTATTTAGTATGTAAATTACTTACTATTAGCAATAAAGCATCGTACAATAATTTAATAGATTCACAAATTATAATAAATGTTATCATAACAAAATAATTCTGAAGCCCTTCATAAACACATCTAACATCTTATGTTGTTTTTATATGATGAATATCATTCAAATTACGAAATCTAATTTTAATAATTCTTTTTCTCTTTCTCTCAATGTGTGTGTATGCCATTAAATTTATATATTATTATAATATTGATTATTTTAATTAGATAAAGGTTAAAATATTTTTATTTAGTCTTAATTAATTGTTTAATGATTTTTGAAAAATTAATACACATATTTTGATTGTATTTATAATCATAATGTAATTATATGTCATAATATTCAGACTTTCTGTGCCGTTTCAAAAAATAATTGCAGAGATATGCACGATTAAGTTATAGATTAAATTTCATTAAATTTCATTAAAGCTTTATAGAGTAAATAAATTTACAGTTTATAATGGAAAATGTACATTTTTGCATAATTTCGCATGCAATATGATAGTAACTATAAAATAATTATAATTTAAAAAATATAATTAAAAAATAGAATTTAAATAAAATCATATTAAATAAAATCAAAATAAATTTAATAATTTTGCTTTATTGATTTTATTCTTTCTTAATAATATTTTTAATCTGTATTTAATGAAATTATGTAAATGTATTTTTTTATTGTATGTTATAAAAAAAAAAAGATATAAAACTAGATATTATAACAGAGACATGATTATGATAGATAGCAAAAATTTTCAAATACAACATGAAGTTCAAAATTTACAATTCATTAACAACTTTACAAATATATACTTAAATATACAACATTATTAGAATTTTTTAGAGAATAGAAAATGATTATAATACATGGTATTATTTATGAAAGAAGTACGTGAATCTATATAAAGTTTACAAATTTAAAAATACTTTTATGTGAATAATTGCAAGACAAAAAAATAGATGCATATGTTAAAACGCATAATGTATGCATGAGGTATAATAATAAATTAAAATTTGAATAAAAAAAATTACAAGTGTTATATAAGAAAAAATTTAAAAATATATGTATAAGTGTACATATAAATAATTTAAGCTTTACATACATATGTAATTGTTGCTCAACATCCGGAGTAATATTGTTATCTATTATAAATGATAGCAACTTGTTAATTGATTTCTGATACATCAAGAAAGAAACATTTTGTATTATCAAGTGACAAATATAGCAACATGATGCAATTAAATTTGAAAAGATAAAGCGATAGAATGAATGCATACCTTCAGGTGTTAGACCAGATCGTACCTGAGGGATGGTCGACGGAAGTCCAGCGCTTCGAGGTCCGACGGTTCGCGTTTACAGAGCGAACAAAAAGCGCACTGTAGCGTGTTTTTAAACGCTTCTCGAAAGTCACGATTAAAGTACGCATAGATCAATGGATTCAATGCCGAGTTTGTATATCCAATCCAGAAGAGGATCGCGATCACGATATCGGGACACGGACAGCTTTGGCCGCATAACGCCGTAGTAACGTACCTGATAATTGTACCAAATTAAAAATTATTTATTTGTACAAATTTTAGTACAAAAATAATTAATTTCAAGTTTATGCTGGATTTCTGTAGGTATGTATATACATATATAAAAAAAATTCTATTGGATATGTTTAATAACTTTTTGAAAAATATTTTTTTAACCGTCTTTGTTTTATCAATGTAAATTTTCCACAGAATAATAAATTCATTAATAATTCGTTAATGATGATACAATAGGAACAATGGGAAGGAAGAAAAGATTAATTTAACATATCAAAATTCATATACCAACGCACACTTGGACCCACGTACCAGAGGAAAAATGGCAGCCAACAGAGGATGAAAGTACCCATAATAATACCTAATGTTCTTGCCGCTTTATGCTCCCTTTTCATTTTCATCATGTGTTTATCTTTCGTGGGAGTGTGCAAATGTTCAGTATTAATCTCATTCAATGTTAGCGTTTTCGATGATCCGCCACTATTCAGTTCTCCGTTTAAATTATTAAGATCTTTACTCGGTCTATGACTAAGTAACATAGCATTGCCCATTCTGCTGTGCATCTGCTTTTCTTGTTTATTAGCCTCTTTGAATATTGCAAAGTAAGTGAAAATCATAATGGTGCATGGTATCCAAAAGGATATACTCGATGAAAGTATGGCGTATATTCTGTTGACTTTGAATTCGCATAGTTCTGGGTGCTTGTGCCTATGCACACTGTTCTCTTCCGTAGTGTACCAACCGTAAAAGATTGGCACAAAGGAAATAATAGCTGGCGCTAGCCAGCAAGCGAGCAGCATAAATGCTACCACTCTTTTTGTCATGTTAATAGGATACTTAAGCGGCTTCACGATTGCATAATATCGATCCACTGAGATACACATTAGATGAAGTATCGAACTAGTGCTGAAATATACATCCAGAGAATTCCAGACATCGCACATGAAATAGCCGAAGAGCCACTTGCCAGTTATCTGAACGCTAGCATTGAAGGTCATTGCAAACATCGCCACAAGCATGTCCGCTAATGCTAGCGAGACCACGAAGTAGTTCGTTATGATTCGTAGTTTTCTGTGTCGTATCACGGACACCATCACAAGAAGATTACCGAACAAAGCCGTAGTGATGATTGAACCAAGGATGCAGACTTTCACGACGGCTGATGGCACATCCGGCCAATTGATCTCCGCAACGTTGACTTCAGTGTTATTGACGTAAGGATCCTCCTCAGTCGAAGTGACATCCAGCATCGACGTCATATCGAATGAAGAGATTTCCGTTGGATCGAATGTCGTTTTTGTGGTCATCCTCGCTCAATGACGGTCCCTGCCGTCACCGAGCGTCGACCACACTTTGGTTTATCCTCTCGGTCAAACGGAAGAGTTCCGAGAAGATGACTTTAGGTGACGGAAGTCCCAACCAATCGACGTGCAAGGCAGACATTCATTGTTGATTCGAGAAAAAGAATGTTCCTTTCTTACAAATTTATTTTTCTTAGCCTTGTTTGTCAACATAATTGCCGTGAGATTCACGACTCATAAGAGACGCCTCGTAAAAAAGTTTTAGCTCATTTCTAGCATCTTATTTTGCTGTCACGCATGCACTCTTCTGGATCTGTAAATGAGAAAAAAGGATATTTTTAAAAGAAAATCAAAGAATTCTTTTTAATCTACAAAAAGTATTGTGATACAAGCGAGTAGATGATTATAAAATTCATAAATGTAATTTCAAAAAATCATTTTTATTAAAAAGTGCTCACAAGATATTTAATTTAAATGCGACAAAGAATCGGCATATAATTATAGTAGCGATAAAACCATTTTGTTTTACAAAATATTCGAAAAATATTTCATTATCTTTAATGCCGCGGTAGGATTATTAGAAGTTTTCTTTTAATATTTTACATTAACATTATTGAATTGTGTCAACTCAAACATCTTAAAATCTTTATTAATTAAAATTCATCAAATTTTTATGAATTTAAATTTCTATTTATATAATAAAGATAAAACAGAAATTATATATTATATATTATATAATACATATTATACATTATAGTATATATTTAATGAGTTTATGCATTTCTAAATTATGTTTTATCATCAGATTTAAGTTTGCAAATAGCAATTAAATTTTAAGGTGGAAGATGTAAATTTGAAACACAATTCGGGTAATGCACAAAAATAGTTTATAGAAATAAAATAATACCTGACAATAAGTCAAATATTTTGTATATTAATTGATATAAATTATTTTGGGAAACGTAAAAATTGAAATTTAAAAGTTGCAAAAAATATGTCTAAAAATCAAATCTCATTTGTTCTTAAAAAGATATTATTTTAAAAAGATATTATAAAAATTTATCTCAGAAAGACTAACTGTAAATACAGTGTACTACAAACAAGTTACGAAACGTTGAATCATCTAACAAAAGAATTGGAAACGAAATGTGACGACCCAAGAGTAAATCTTCTTGCATGACACATTTACTCACAATGCCGCAATAATCCATAACAATGTTGAATAATCTTTAACAAAAAATTACAGCTTTAAAATTACCTATTTTATTCGTCTAAATTGATGCTAACAAATTATTTTCATTCTCATTATTTGTAAAAGAACATCATTTTAATTATTTTCTAACATTTAAATAAGTGTAATAAAAATTGAAAGTGATTGTACAGAAAAGCATTTTATTGAAGATACATAAATTACAGGATTAGTCTAATAAATATATAACTAAATGAAATTATATCATGTAATTAGAAATATAAATAAACGATTTTCTTCGGATTTCTCTTACGATTTTTTTCAAATTTTTATACTTCTAAATTTTCTCAGATACGCATATACAAAAAATCAATTTTTATAAATATTATTAATAAATAAAATAAAATTTTTTAAGTACATTTACACGGATTAATTAAAAATTTACATGTTTATTAAAAATATTAAAAATATTATTAAAAATATTATGTTGTTGAAATTATTAAAAATTTATATATGTAAAATCATTAAAATTTTAAAAATTATTATCAAATTTTTTATTGTTGTCATTTTTCTTTTTCTCTTTCTTATGATATGTTTTCTATTTTTACAATTACAACAAATTATTGATGTCGTACAACTAATAAATGAATTTAGATGATTTAAGATGCAATACACAGACAAATTTATATAATTAAATGATCCTTTGGCATATAACCACTTCGATTGTTGCAATTCCTTCGAGATTTGCATATCAGTTGGTACGGCAGTTTTCCATTCGTTTCTATTCAAAATGAGGACACGTCGGAAGAGAACTGGCAATCTTCAATGGAATGTCCTCTTTTTTCCCCACCTTTTGCTCACCATTTCTCTTTGTCACTGTTTCTCCCTTCTCCGTGTCTTTCTGTCTCTTCCTCTGTATAATAGTCATGTAGCGACAGTGCTGTGTCAAGTGTACTCTTGTCAAGACCGTGTAATTTATAATCCACTATTTTTGCGGTACATTTAAGTCAATTATTCTGACGGTAGTATCGGTCAGTCCTAAAGAAAACAATAGAAGAAAAACTGTCATTATCAAAAAGATCATATTTTTATTCTTTAATAAGCGCGTGCCGATCTTATAAATTACATCACGTAAAATCACATGAGAAAAAGATACGATATACATTCTTGATAAAATTTTGTTTTATTAAAAAAATAGCTAATTTATAAACGCAAGAGGTTTGATTAAATGTGAATATTTGATTAAATTTATGACAGAAATTTCATGCTATCTTCATCTTGATCGCGAACAGTTTTCCTTCCGCAAAGGAGAAGAAAGAAAAAAAGAAAAAAAGTGAAAGAGAGAAAGGGACAGAAAAATATATATATTATATATTTTTAATCTAATTATATGTATATTTTTAATATTCTAATTATATATATTTCTTTCTCTCTCTCTTTCTCTTTTAAAAATATATATAATTATATACTTCTCTATGCGTTTTAAAAAATACGTTTAATTATTTTAATGTATAATTTTATGAGATAGTAAATAAAAAATTTGATTTACTTAATTAAATAATTATTGCAATTAAACTTACATTATTTAATATCTATCATAGTAAATGTTACAAGAAATAGTATAAAGGGGAACATGTTTTTCCATATGAAACTAAATAATTTAACGTGATTGAGAATATAATCTTACGGTCAATGAATCCTATTTCAAGTATAAAGTATGATCAAAAATATGGTGATTGCCATAGCGCGTTATATATAGTGAAAAGAAGGGAACTTTTGTAATGAAATTTAATTGTAAAACTGCCCCTATATATAACAAGTTTCAACTTTAATATACTTTAATATACAATAAGTTTCAGTTGTTTAGTTCGATCAGCCAATATTAAGTTATGGTTATATAAAAGTTTTTAAGTTGTTGTAAATTACGAACAATGCATTAACATAGATAAAAAAATTATATTTCTATATATATATATATATATATATATATATATATATATATTCCAGATTTATATGCCATTTTGAAAAAAGATTGAAAATAAAAATGTATAAAAATATATAATATCTAGAAAAGATCAGAAATAAAAGAAGGGACATGTATTTTCAGCGATTAAAGTATTACTTTTTGATTTTATATCAATTTTTAAATCTTATAATAACCTTCTACTTCTGAAGTTTATACCAATATGCTATGATGTATATGTGGTATATTTCTCTTTCTTCTATATATATATTTTATTAAATATTTTGTAAATATTATATATGTATAATATAAAAAATTAATTAATATTTTGATTATTAATGTTACTAGTTCAATAACTTTGATTTTGACATATAAATATTTTATTAAAATCATGACTCTAGATAATTTTAGAAAGAATTTTAGGTTTTTACATTATTTATTAGAAAATTATTAACGAAAGTTTGTGTAAAGCGAGGAAAACTGTAATAAAAAAGTCAATATTGGACACAGTTTATTTGAATATTATTACTCGAACTTTCTACATATACTTAGACAAACACAGTCTTTATATAAAATATTTAAAAATATCAAAAATTGAAAGGTGAATGTACGAACGAAACATGGATTCTACATGAGCCTGCAATTTCTTTTCGCAAAGTAAATTCTATCTTACATGAAAAAATAAATGTATAAAAGGAGAAGAAGCAACATTCTCTTTCCTAATTTTAGATTAGATCCAATGTAGAGCACAGAATCCCTCTCCCGTTTATTTATTTTGCATTTCAATTATAATTCATGTTCATGAATCATATAACGTTATTCCTGAAAAATAAATCGAAAAGTTCTGAACCATTTTTTTTCTGCGATGCTCCACAAAAGAGGGATTATTAAAGGGCACTCATACAAGCAATGCTGTTTTTAGGGCATATATTCATAAAAGTCGCATATTGAATATGTGACTATACGTGCAATGATTTCGTTTCAATCCGCACATGCACGTGTATGTATATGTATATGTACGAGTATACTTTTTTATTTATTATAAAATATTTAACAAATGTTTTAAAATATTATATAAAATAATATTAAAAATTTTTTATATAATTTTCTCATACGTATTATATTTAAAAATTATTTCAATGATATTTAAATAATTATAAATAATATTTAAATGTTGTTTATTATTTTAGGTATTAGCAAAATATAATAATTAATAAGAATTTAAATTTACAGAGATTAGATGTATGAAACATACAAAGACGTCCTTCTATTATATTTGTATTTTATTTAAATTCACTTTTATGTACACATAAAAATCGTACACGTCAGTTCATGAATTATATTTTAAGTCCGGTGCATAGTGACTTTGTATAGAAACAGATAGTGCCATATGAAAAATATGCAATGTTCTCCCAAAGCAACATTATTTATGCTCACATAAATTTTTTTGGTTATATTCGTTCTCAGTTGCACAGAGCATACATGCATCGCGATCCACAGTAGTTGAAATATGTCTGCCTTTTGCACACGCTGCGCCATGATGCATTTAGAATGCTTTTCCCATTCCACGGGATGCCCTTTCTTAACGCGATGACCTCGTGATAATGTAACTTCATCAAAGTGAAAGAAAATAAAAACGAGAACGTTTTTCATTTAATGAAAAATTGATTCGAAAATAAAATATTCTGCACAACTACTTGCAATCGAATAATATAAATATTCAAGTAGTCTATCGAATATTAAATACTGCGACAAAATTAAATGAAATATGGAAATATAATTTACATGTTTCATTTTTTCTAAAATTTGTGGTAAAGTTAAAGAAGTTTTTATATGGATTTGAATAAATTAGTTGCTTATTTTTAAATTAAATTAGATATACTAAACATATTATACATTATATACGTCATCCATTTTTATCTAAATAATAGAATAGAAAATAATAAATAATAAATATATATAAAGAGCAATAAAAAGAGCTATTAAATCTATATATTATTATTAATTTTTTAATAATAATATATAGATTTTATAATAATATATAGATAATGATATATATATATATATATATATATATATATATATGTACATGTATAGTCACTGTATCATTTTGCTAATTTTATCTACATGCTTTATTATTTATTTAAAATAATAAATCAAT